GAAAAACAAATCGTTTAAATAGGGATACAGGTGGACCCATTGCAACAATGAGATGTACAGGTCGCTATGTAGAAAAATGAACTTTACAACTTTGGTGGGGGGGGGAGGGGGGCGGGTAGCAGGAGGATTGGTTGGTGGGTGGGCGGGGAGGATGGGAAGGGATGGGTAGAAGAAACAAAGGAGGAGTCTACAATGCTTGATAAGAAATGTACTCCTTATCTTACCCATGTAATTGTAACCCCTCTGTACACTATTTTCACAATAAAAAAATAAAATTTTTTTAAAAAAGAAAATACATTGTAAAAAAAGGAAATATACATGCATTTGAATAAGGAGAATATATAGCAAAGTAAAAACTATATAAATTTTTGCATACATCTAAACACTCCTTGAATTGACATCTAAAAACTCTTTGAATTAAAATCTATTGTTTAAAATTAAAAAAATAACAATGAGTAGAGAGGCATAGAGCATCAGAGAAAGAGGAACCTGACTGAGACAATGGCTGGGCAAATATGGAGGTGGGATAGTGGTGTAATCATGTGCTTAGGAGTGTGTATTTTATCCAATTTAAATTGATCCTGGAAAACTCAAGGAGTTCATGCTTCATCAATGCTCCGGATAAAATAGTTGACATATGTTGAATAATAACCTAACAGAGTCTATTTAAGAGGGACATATTCTTAGGGTATACATATGTGTCAAAAGGTTGATAAAAGGAGGAGAGGAACAACAGATAGGTGATAATTATAGCACAAAGCTAAACAAGACTGATTGATAGCAAGTATGAAGAGCGTTTGAAGAAATCTCTGAAAGCTAAGTTTTAGAAGGTGTCTCATCCCTGCAAATAAAACACAGTTTTTATGTGTTTCTTGAAGACTTAAAAAAATGAACGACTTAAAATAAAACAAGTTGATATCCGAACAAGGGGAATTATAGCAATATTTATTTCACTCTATAAAGACAAGCATTTGTCAACCTGTCCTGGAAAGGTGACACAAAACATAGAATTTGGTTTCATTCAGGATGACAGAGAAAATACAAAAATACACAAAATAAGTAGGGAAAACTCAGTCATGTAATTTTAAGGGGACATCAATGGGCATGCCACAAATCTGGTATTAATCAATATTTATCAGAGTATTTTTTCCTTAGCTATGATTTGAAAGTTGTTATGACAAGGCAAAGTCACTGAAAACCACCTTGTGAACTGGGAACAATTGAGTCCTTGAACAAGGACTAAATATTTTATAGCCCCCATGTCAAACACTGTTAACACTTAAGCTAGTATAGATGGCCAAATTTATGTCACTTCATCTGTAGCAATGATTTACGAGCTATCTTTAGTTTAATGTCTTTATTAAATAAACATTCCTTGACAATTTAAATAGTTTTATAGAGAGCCTTCTGGTTTCAGAATGGCCTTGGAGACCTTCAGATAATTTGCAGGCAACTAAGATAAACCACCACCATGTATCACAAGGAACAAGAAATCACCCCAGTAATTTGACTCCAGAATAACAAGAGTCCAAAGATCTTCATTATTGGATACAACACTGAAAGAACTTCGATGCACAGGGTCATATGCATACATGCACAGATATATTAACTGAAGCATAGCATACTCAGAAGAGGATCTCAAAGTTTTAATTCCTTTGGACAGCTAACTCACATGTTAACAAAAAGAATACCAGGAAGCTGTAACATGTATTGTTGAATGTGGTGCAGGGGACAAATGGAGAGAGAAAAAGTAGACAAATGCAGTCATAATAGTCAATGTGCATTATATGAAATTAGAGGCAGGTAATTTGAAGTGATGGGTAGTGTTGGGAGAGATGGGGTAGAATGATGAAAAATGCGACATTGTTCCTTGAACTCACAAAGTAACACCTTTGTACAACTACTGAAAGATAATTTTTGAAAAAAAACAGCTGTCTTGTAAAATGATGAAGAAACTAGGAGAAACATTGAAAAGCTGATGGTTCTAAATGGAAACAAAGAGTTGATGTCATACATTAAGTGTTACAGAGTTGAAGTCCACTTATACAATCCTAATATTTATATTTTGCTTCATGAAGAAGTAAGGCTTACAGAATTAAGAATCTTATTAAAGTTAAGTTAGTAAAAGATAATTCTGGAAGACAAAGTAAAAAACAGAGAAAATCATTATATAACAGCTAAAAGAAAGCAAATGTTTGTTTCTCTCTCATTCTCTCCCTCCTCTTTTCTTTTCCTTTTTTCTCCTCTCCTTCTCTTACTCCTTCTCTCTCTCTCTCACTCTCTCACTCTCTCAATCTCACACACACACACACACACACACACACACACACACACAGAACTTCCTACTTTCAGAATGTCAAAGGCCATGGCCGCTGTAGCAGCATTCCCAATGACAGCTGCTGTAAGTTATTTCCTGTGAGTGTCACTGCACAGCCACTGCTTGGAAGAGATGTAGTGACCTCTCCTAGAGGTCACCGTAATGGGGCATTTTGAAAATCAGAGCTCTCACCAGACTATTGAAGTGAAGCTTGCAGATAGAAATGAATCTGTTCTGGTAGTTTGGTTTCACTCTTTGAAGTGAGTTGATAACACATTGGCTTGACAGAAAGCCTACATGTTCATAAAGTATAAAGGCATAATTTCTTTTCAACTCAACTGCTTTCAGAGGCAGTGGAGATATGCCATTGAACTAAAATATGCAGTTAAAGTCAGTCTAATGATTCAATTTGTACAGCTTTTGATAATAGATTTTCAGGTCAAATGAAGACAGAGTGAAAGAAGCAGTACACAGGCAAATTGTCTCAATTTAAGTTTCATATGACAGTGAACAGATGGAAAATCTGAATTATCATTAAAAATGTAGAAAATATGGGAAGCAAAATATATGAATGTAATACATTTATATATGTGCATGCATAATATAGACAGAAAGAACTTAGGTTCTTTGTTACATCTGATTTTTAAATTACAATCTCATTGATGTACAAAAAATAAAAGTTAACTGTTGAGTATCCATAAAATTCAAATAAATTCTTATAGCAAAATGACATTGCACCTAAAGTATGGATCATAAAAAATATCAATTAGTTTAGCTTCATCTAAATTAAAACCTTTGTTAGTCTCTATGAAAAAGGAAAGAGACAAGTAACAGAAGACATGATTGCAAACTACGTATCTGATAAAGGATATATCTAAAGGACATAAAGAATCATCCCAAACTCAAGAGACACTTTACAGAAGAGAATATAAAAGTGATGATTACATGAACATGTACTTATTCAAATCACTAGCCATTGAGAAAAAGGAAGCTAAGACTGTAGTGTGATATCTATACTTCTAACAACAGTTAAAACAAGTAGTAAAACCACCAAGTTATGCCAAGCACATGGAGGAACTGAATCCATGGTACATGAGGTGTGGTAAAGTAGTGATGCTCTCTCTCCACAAAAATACTAACATGACACATACTTACCACTCGACTTTGCAATCATACTCCTTGTAATTTATCCCAGAGAAATGTGGCTATCAAGTGATAGTAAGTGGTAGCTTTGTTTTCTTTTTTTTCAGCACAAGAATTGATGCTCTACCACTTGAGTCATTGGCCCCAGCCAAGCTTTTTGCTAGTTGTTTTGGAGATGACATTGTAAAATCTCCTGTTTAGCACAGTCTTAAGCCTCAATCTTCTGGATCTCAGCTGTCTGAGTAGTTAGGATTATAGGTATGAACTGGCTTAAAACCGAGGGATTTTGTGTGTGTGTGTGTGTGTGTGTGTGTGTGTGTGTGTGTAAATGTGACTGGGTCTCAACTACAGTATGACACAGTATGACTACAGTATGACTCAATATGTCTACAGGTGTTGAAATGGCATGATGCTCATTCACTATGTATGAGCATTGGTACTCAGTGACCAGAGACCAATGGGGAAAAAAAAACAACAAACTGAGGGGGGCTAAGGTACTCTGCTATCTTTACTACTTCCTATGAATCTATAATTATTTCAAAATAAAGAGCTTAAAATTAGGTCAAAATATTGAGGATTTTTAAGCTGAAAGTTAGAAACATTTTCTAAAAAGTACCAATAACTCAAATTATAAAAGATTACAAAGTTGGTCAATGAGAACAGATTTTTGTCAACAAAAAGTGATCGGGTGCGGGGGGTGGGGGAGGGCTGGGAAGATGGGAAGATGGCTCAGTGGTAGAATGCTTGCCTTGGGTGCCTGAGACCCTGGGTTCGATTCCCCTGCACCACATAAGCAAAAAGAAAAAAATCCGGAAGTGGCACTGTGGCTCAAGTGGTAGAGCACTAGCCTTGAGCTGAAGAGCTGAGGGACAGCGCCCAGGCCCAGAGTTCAGGCCCCAAGACCAGACCCAAACAAACAAACAAACAAAAACTATCTTGTGGGGTGCCAGTGGCTCAGGCTATCATCTTAGCAACTCAAGAGGCTCAGATCTGAGAATCAAGGTTTGCAGACAAATCCAGGATACTACTATCTCCAATATGTAAAAGAAAATGTTTCTCATTCTCATTAGTAATCAGAGTAATCAAAGAAATGGTGGGTAAAACATCAGATAGAATTTTGGTTTTTTTTTGTTGTTCAATTAGTATTTGATTTCTGGAACTGAAACAATTTTTTTTCATGGCATCTGCTTGAAGGCTTCTGACTCTTCATCTTTAAACTCTGGTCTCCTTTTTCAGTCTGTTTTATTATTGAAGATCTTCACTGAGTTTAAGAAATATGATGGTCTCCTTAATTCTAAATTTGAAGTAATTTGTAAGCTATATTTGTATAAATTTCTTCTTTTTGATGGATTTTTTAAAATAGTGTCAACTGATACTTTTGTTTAGTTCTCTTTGTTGAGATAAATATTAGAAGTATTTTGGAAAATTTTACATGTTTGAAAATTTCACATGTATTGATTTGATTTTATTTTTGTTAAGCAGAATTGAAATTAGAACTTGGTGCACATTGTCACTTAAGCTATATTCTAGACCTTTTTTTGACACTGTTTAGTTTTTATTCATAATCATAAACTTAACTCTGCAATCCAGCTAGATTTGGAGGGGAGGTAAGGAAAACATGGAACCCAAAGAACTGCAGTGAGAGCACAAAAATTACAGGATATTGCAAGCAGATGGGGTGGAAGGGTGTTCTCCTGAGCTACAGAAGGAATGGTCTGGTGGTTATGGTAAACCAAATCAAATGTATTAGAGTTGTCTGCAGTCGGTAATGGTGACCTTCTTGCTGGTTTTGCCATTCCCGGACCCAAAGCCCTGCATGGCTTCCACGATTTCCATGCCCTCTTTCACCTTCCCAAAGACCACATGCTTGCTGCCAAGCAATCAGTCTTGACAGTGCAGATGAAAAACTGGGAACCATTTGTGTTTGGTCCAGCATTTGCCATGGACAAGATGCCAGGACCTGTATGCTTCAGGATGAAATTCTCATCCTCAAATTTCTCTCCGTAGATGGACTTTCCACCAGTGCCATTATGGCATGTGAAGTCACCACCCTGGCACATGAATCCTGGGAAAATCCTGTGAAAGCAGGAACCCTATAACCAAATCTTTTCTCTCCAGTGCTCAGAGCACGAAAGTTTTCTGCTGTCTTTGGAGCTTTGTCTGCAAACAGCTCGAAGCAGACGCGGCCCAAGGGCTTTCCGTCGGCGGCAATGTCGAAGAACACGGTGGGGTTGACCATGGCTGGCAGCTGGTAACCACAATCAACAGTGGCGTCTGCAAAGCCTCTAGACCTTTTTCCTTTATTTATTTATCTTTTCAAATAAAGTCTTGCATTTTTTGTCCAGGTTAACTGCTATCTTCCTACCTAATACTTCAGTATAGTTGGCATTACAACTATGGACCACCATGCCCAATTTATTGGTTGACGTGGGATCTTGCTACCTTTATTTTTCTTCGCAAGCTGGCCTTAATGCATGATTCTCCCAATTGTCGCCTCTTTTATAATAGAATTATGGAGGTACAACACAATTCCCTGTCTACATAATATGATTTTTCCATCTAATGTGGTTTAATATATCTTTTAGCTTATTTTCTGGCATTTATTTACTGCTATCTTCCATGGAGAATATGCATATACAACCATGTTTATTTGTTCTTATACTATTTCCAAGATGATGTTTAATATTTCTGTAAGAATTATTTTCATTTTAAGTTTGTGTTCTGACAGTTCATTTTCTATCATGTTTAGCTTTTTTTTCCAGATTGGTGAAATTTCTACTTTGGAATTAATTAGCAAATAAGCTAAGAACTTGGCTTTGTTTACATCAGTGTATAAGAATTATCTAGTCTTTTCTTTCTTTCTACAGCCAAAAGAGGTTGACACACCTAGGGATAATTGCTATTGAGAGTCCATTTCCACCGCATTGTCTGATCTCATTCCCTAAAGATCCACAGCTACTTGGTAGTTTCTAGTGCAGAATCTCCCACTATCGAACTATGCACACTTCCTGCATTTTGAAACACATGTATATAGTTCTCCCTACATCTTTTTGAAGAATCTAACTGAATCAAGTTGACCCAAGTTTAGGTTCAGCCATCTTTAAGTAATTCCATTTGAACTTCAGGGCATGTAACTCCCTAACTTCATAAACTGCGCATGTACACACACACACACACACACACACACACACACACACACACACTTCACTTCCATCTAATGTATGCTTATATTGTTCACTGTAAGGTTTGATGTTTCTGAGAGAAGAAAAGGTATTATTACCTTTTTTCCACTATTATAAAACTTGTAGTTCTGTAAGAAACAACCTAAACCCAGCTTTTGTTTGGTCTTAGGAATGAATTAAAAGTCCCTCAACTTCATATCTGTGCCCTTTGGTCTGACCTATTCTCTTCTACAGTCCCTTTGCAATCACTTTTTGGAGGTAGAAAAGGAAGATTCAGATTAGCATTTTGTGTGGAAGGTAAATTGGCCTCCCAAACAAGCAATATTTCTTTTTATATTCTTAAAAGAAATAGTCCAAATCTTAGGAGACTACTCTCTTTCTGTTCTGTTTCAGTAATAAAGCAATAACAACTTCTGTAGAAGTCATACAAAGACAAGCCACATACATACCTGTTGCCTGGGTCTCGCTTATCTATCCATACCTATGCATCACTATGAATGACTATGCATCCTTTGCCTAAATTATCCACATTTGACCAGAAACCAAGATGTGTACCTACAAAGACAGTTGAAGACTGTGGAAGTTCTATATTCCCATTATTTACATATATTTCCATTCTCTGACTTTCACTATGTTTCTTTCTTTCTTTTTTTTTTTTTTTGAGAGGGGAGGGTACAGATACAATTAGCCAGATCTCAATTGGGACTTCTAGACTTTGGACCATTAAACTCAGTTTCAGCATCATCACTTATTATATTTATAGTAACAGAATAATTTAGATACTTTTTGTAGAAAAAATGAGGAAATTAAAACTAAGCATTACTTTTTTACAGCATCTAAAATAAAGTTTCTGCAGGACAATGTGTTTGCAAAGTCATTCTTCCCTTGAATATAAAAATATATAACAAAAGATATAGACTTCCATTTACAAAATGGTGTGGTATAGAATAACGAGAAAGCATGCTATATTTTTTCTATGATGGGTCCTGCTTATAGCTTTGACAAAACTACTCTAAAATAAAGTGAAAAATGGCATTACAACTTAATACACTTGAGCACTATCTGGGAAAGCTAACATAGTTTGTGAAAAGACTGTAATTCTACATGGTAAAAGTGAATTTATCAATAGAATGTTGTCACTATAGCAAGGCTGAAACCATTAGCATTATGCATTCAAATCAAACCAATGGTCAATGTAGATTACATATTAATGGAAGCTTAGCTCCACTAACTCTATGAAGTTTGGAGAATATTGTCCTTGCACATAGTATTTATGCTATCATCCTGCCTCTGTTAGTGTTAACCATTCCTCATCCCATATAAGGCTTTGAGGATAAATTTCCAAGTGAACAAAAATAAGTCTAAGACCAATGGTTGAACAACCAATATTGGAGTTAGCAGCAACTTTAAAAAGAGTGCTTTAATGTGCTGATTCATAGAGCATTAACATGTCTAACAGCAAGAAAACTGACAGGAGTTTTCCTACACCTAGAAAACCAAATATTTCAAGGTATTCTGGATTAAAGATGCTTGTGACCATTTTGGATTACCTATAGTTGTTTTTTTAGTAAGATATTTTTAAAAAGGAAAGACAAAAAAGAAAGAAGGTTGAAGAGATCTTGCTCTAGAGGCCTTGGAACAAGTAATGTAATCACTGATTTTGCATGTTTGCATGAACATTATTTTCATATAGGGTTCAACATGTGGATCTTATATTCTCTTGCATGTATGTGTTCAGGATTTGAGCAGTTTTATGAATTGATCAAATAAGTTTGGCACCTTGAAGCAGAACATATAGATTTATTTTTATTATTTATCTTTGTTTTTATGTTTAATTATAAAATACACATATACTCCTAAGTAAAACTTTAATTTAGAATTTCACAATAGTGTAAGGGAGGGATTGGTAGGAATATTAAAAGGGGTGACAGTGATCAAAATATATTGTATTCATAAACTGCTTTGTTAAATGGGGATTGCCTTATACCATGGCTAAAGATAATAAAAATATAGTGAAAGAAAAAAAGAATTGTTCAATACCAAATTAAATTAATATATTTCAAGCTTGTCAAGTGGATGCAGTTAAGGCACCATCTTTTTTTTAAAGAAAAGGTTTTTTTTTACATTTTATTTAATTGAGAACTTCTGTGTTCCTATAAGTTTAATATTATCATGCAGGCAATTGCATGATTTTTAACATATACTCTTAATTTTTTTTGGAAATGTTATGAATGTACTTGATGGTACTGGACATTCTGAATTTCAGCAAATGTGCATCCAGACCTTATCTGGCTTAAATACCATTTATTCCACAAAGACTTAAAATTCAGGACCTTTGGTTTCTAAGTTGATGCTCCATTTATCTTTGTATTCTCTGAAGAGCTTTTGGCATCCACACGAATTTGAATTTGAAGATGCCATGGCTCAGGATCACACAAAATTCTCAGGAAGATTTACTATGAAAAATCTCCCACAATTCTTTCTCTTTATCCCTATAGTGTGGATTCCAAATACTTTTGTTCTTCAGAATGTAACTTCAAGCTGATGATATGGAAGGTACAACATCAATATCTTAAATGTGACTTAGAAGTTTTTTTTCAGAGTTTTTGAAATCCCTTCATTTCCTTCCATACATAAGATGAACCAAGGACTAAACTATCATTCGCAGTTTTGTTTAATAATCTGGAAAAATAGTATAAGTCCAACCAATTTTTCTGTTGAAGGTGTCACAGATCAAGATGCATTATATTCATAAACTGCTTGCTTAAAAGATATCTTCCTTGTGCAACTACTTAAATATAATTTAAAAAATTTTTTAAAAGTACTCAAGAAATCCATATACTCACAAAATATCCTGGGATCTGAAAATGAGAAGAAAGGTTCATGTATTTTGATGAGTCTTTATTTTCTTTCTGGGGTGACCAGAGAGATTTGGTTATAGCTCTTCCTAATTTCTTTAAAGTATTTTAAATTCCAAGTCTTCCTTATTAAACCTAAGCCATCATTTGCAATTGAAGATAATTGAGTTTTCTTTCTTGCAATAAAAAAATAAAAACAAAAACAAGCTGAAAAGGCATGTTCATGTCTGTTATGAAAAAATCACTAATCTGGCCCACTAGGAAATAGGGTACTTTGACCCTCATAGTATGAACTGCTTTGTTGTATCTAACAATAACAACAGCTGAGTTTACTAATCATACAAATGACAAGGCCCCCTAAAATAAAGCTTACCTGGAAATACAAAATTGGCAGAGCTTTAGGGTCATTTTATTTCACAGGGTTGGGTTGTAGATGTCCTCATTCTACTATGTACAGTATATTTCATTTGTTTGACTTATAGCTTCTTTCCAAACACATCATCAACTCAATGTCTCATCAGTTTTCTATATTTTCAGCACATGTTCTGTTTCTCCCTGTAGTACCGTGGAAACATAATTTTATTCAGGGATATTTCTGCACATAAACTCTTTTCTACATATAATATGAAATTATTCTTACCAATCACTCTCTCTACAGACTACCTTATTATTTTCCTCGTTGTTAGTACTAGATGGCATAAAATACTATACGTTAGAAACATCTAAATGATACTTATTAGGGAATGTTCTCATATATAAAGTCTATATGAATCTAATATTTGAATGCATCAGAAATATATTTTATCAAATTCAGCATCAAATTGACAACACCCTTTATAACAACAATTTGCCAAATGGAGAAATGTCATAATCTGAATGAGCATTATCCTTCATGCTGATAGGTGAAATTAATGAAATAATTAAAAAGCCATAAAAGGCAAATAAAGAGTGTCAGAAGACACCAACAAGATGGAAAACAAAATATTATTGGCATGGTAATATGACTACCACAATGAAAATACCTTTCTCCAGTGTCAAGTTCTATTCATAGAACTGAAACATTATCCAGGTAGTTAGTATATTTTGCTTAATAGTCTAGGGTCAATCAACATCACAATAGAACATGATTCCCATGTTTTCTCATAAAGAAATCCAGCCAGATAATAATGTATAGAAAATTTCTGAAGAAATTTAATAACCTTGCCATATTTTCTGTAAAAGACACTT